AGTTTGGGGAGCTGGGGTGGAGTGTGTGTTCATCATGCTTGGAAAAAAAGGATTCCGATCTGGGAATATTAGACGATCCTGCGTGGGAACTCCTCATGGATTCCAAACTAGAATTGGTTGAAATTCCAATGTGGAAATTGTGAATTTGCTTTCATATCCAAGGCTGCTCTGTGCACACTCCATTCTAGCTGAATAAACTTGGCTCCGCAAAACTCACAGCAGTGGACTGTACAGCGTCGGTGGTTTGATAAGGAACAGGTCTCTGTGAGGCGAGGACTAACTATCGAAGTGCCGTGGTGGGCTCTGCTTGCTATCCAGTACGCAGACCTCCTCTTTCGGGGGGTGGCTTACCATTTTCTGCCGACCCCTCTGATTCCAATCTGGGAAAATTTACCATAACAACTGGCCATAAAACAAAAAAAACGCCCCCAAGTTATCGACGTAGCTCGACGAGGCGATCACAAAAGATCGTTGTTTCACAGTTCCATTTCTTTCAAAAGTTATCGCACAAAATGTGAATGGACATTGTTGTGCATGGACCATACATTCATTGCGATAGTTGTGCATGAATCGATCACATCCGCTGGTGGTGGTGCGGTTATTGTCAGCAAATTGAGATTCAAAAAATAAGCCCAATCGTCTCAGAGAGGAGAGAGAGAAACAGCGGGGAACTTACGCTATTCGACAAAACATGGCATAGACTTCCATGGACGTCGATGTTGACTTTTCCTACGAAGCTATGCACAGCTGACACGGCAGTCCATGGAAGTGCCACACGCGTGTCGGATTCCGGCACCAGTTTCTTTGGAAGCAGCGGTTGCTTACGTGGAAGTTGCATCTATAACTTCCACGACGAAAGCGACAAGAGCTTTCATGGCAGTACGACTCCCTCCCATGGAAGTTCGTCCGTCGAACCCCTCTCCGAAACTCGACGGTACATTCACGGAAGCACGGCCACTTCCATAAAGAAAGCAACTCCCACGGAAACGTTTGCGAGGACTGGAAAGCTACTTCCATGGAAGCTCGACAACTTCCATGAACGCAACTCCCCCGGAAGTTTTGGTCAGCGTTGGTAAGCAACCTCCATGGAATCTTGAAGAGCATATGGCGAAAAAGGTTTGCGGCTTCAAGCAAACCTTGGGCGCACAAGGATGGTGTCGGGGTGACGTCCTATCGTCTTTCACGATGACTTGAATAGAAGCGGGCATCCTCGTGAACGATAGCTATGGACGTTTCTCGTGCAAGTGTCCACGAAAGTCCTTTGTGTTTTACTTCCATTGACGTTGGACTCGCATGAGTATGACTTCCATGGAGGAGAGTGTCGTCCGCGTTTCTCAGCTTCTATGGAAGCGGTCTTCGAAAGAATCCATGGAAACTTCTACTTCCTTCCATGGAAGCTACCCGAAGGTGGGCGTTGTCCATGGAAGGTGCTATATTTGACTCTCATGGAAGCTCAACAAGCGACTTCCACATGGACGCTACAGTAGTAGCGACTTCCACTAGCTTCTATATGAAGTTTAAACTTCAATAGAGAGGAAGTCGCTCGTGAACCGCCATTAAAGTCACTTGGCTAGCTAATGGAACCCAAACTGAACCAACGTTCATGGAGGAAGTCAACAACATTTATTGTTAATGACGTCAGAGATCGTAAAAAACGCACATGACGGCGACCCAACCGGAGAAGCAGAGATAAATAGCGCGCATGGTCGCTCACGGTCACTCGCTTCCAGCGTATGCAGCATGCTTGCACATCGGCGCACCGCATGCGCTTTCGTCGTATCCTGACTTGTTGGCACTAGGTCGTGATTGTAACATACCCAGCCCACTCACGACTCTTTACTAAACCTCTGCAATGAACATTCATTCTGTCGTTGGAGATTCGACTTGTTTTCAGAAATTGGTCGAGAAGACAAGAGGAGCGATAAACAAAGGGAGAGGGCGAACCGGTGAAGAGGAGAGAAACGTATGGTTTCACATGATCGCACACTTGTGGTGTATGCCACTGCGCACGGCGGGTGATGAAACTGGGCGATGCGCCATGACTCGATGCCCTACTGGGGCATACTCGAGATATCGCGAAACGTGCGCAGTAGGTCGAGATCGGTCTGCACATGCCCCCACACTTGTGGTGAATGCTGCTTGGCGCGGAAGTCGATCAAACTTGGCGAGGAGCCATGATTTGCGATGCCCGACCGAGGCCTACTCGAGATGTCGCGAGACGTGCGCCTTGTTCGAGATTGACTTTGAGACCCAGTCGGGCAAGGGTGGGGTTTCGAAATGATAGGGGAACACGTGACAAAATTTAATTTCCGTCGGAGAGACTCAAGCGTACAGTTTCAGAACACTTTCAACATGTCGATAAAAACAAGCGTCGGGGACATCATGCATCCTTTGGGACCCGGTGCTACTGCTGTCCGAAGAATTTAGAACGTTCGCCATCTATCCCCTCGGCGTATTTCGTGCACACTGCCAGCTTCTTCAGCCTTGTCGACATGTCCCTGTTCATTCCACACTCCGCCAATTGTGTCCAGAGTCCGTATTTATACTGTATCATACGCACATTTCTTTACGTCTGGGAAAAGGCAACACGTGTCATCCACCCGAAGGGCGAACGCAGACTACGCTGACTTTGAGCAGTACGTGGAACCGTTTTGTTTACCCATGGCGGTAGAGACTATCAGGGATAATAGGGAATAGGACCGTGTTCAGGGGTTGTACACGACCCCAAAAAATGATCATCGGGTCTACTGCTTTCGGGTGTGTATTTATCACAGTACAGCGCCAGGGTCAGAACGATTTCATCCTTCTGGCGTACGCAAGATCTACGTAGAAACTCAAGGTTAACCCACACCCGAAGGCCCAGTGGTACGGTGGGGCGAATACGGCATTCCAGCAACTTTTAGAGGTCGTTCTTCAACGCGAGTCAGCTATAGGCAGAGGGCATGCAAGACATGAGAAGGCACCCAACGCAACTGATTATCCCGTGCGGCTTGCCTCTGGGGCCAGAACCTAATGGACGCCTCACATCCCTTGATCATGGCACGTTACCTTTGGTTCAGCCATGGCTCGCCTAGGTAGATTGGCACACGCTGCGCGTTTACTCGACAACCACTGCGGTGTGTGTCAGACGTGCAATCAGAGGGGGAAGAGCACACGGTCGACACTTTATGTGAAACTGTGCACAATAAATTTGCTAGTGCCCAAGAGATCTTGTCTATTCGTCAAATGCTTCTCGTCGCCCAACTACAGACCACAAGACAAAAATGAGAGTCTGACGAAAAATAGCTGGAAAATCGGCTTGGTGGAGTGAGGCGGTTTCGCCGAAACGACGAAACATAGCACTAGTTCAGGCCTGGAAAAAATTCCTCGCGGCTCCAACGTGCACCCAACGTTTTTCATGAACGCCAAAAATTAGAAAACCCTTGAGCCAAGAGGGACGAATCAACGCCCAGTACTGACTCAAACGTAGTGGGTTGGTATTTCGCCAGACAGGTAACCACGTCGTGATTAGAAGACCCCTCGCGGGGTGCGGAATGTATTGCTTTGTTCACTGCGTTGCCGCACCCCTCTCGAGCTGGGGTCCATATTGTCAGGGCTTCGACATCGATGATAATCACTACACACACAGCAGGATGAGAGCAGCTAGCGAAGTTCGTCGGGGGGGGATTCTCTGCAAACACTACGGGGGAGATCACAAACTACATGAACCAAGAAAGCCCCGAAGAAAACTCACAGGCACGGGGCCGGCAAACTTGAAGAACTCATGTCTCGAGGCTAAGCTAAACGTGGTTGCGCTAAGCCTAACTTGATTGCGCTTCGCCTGCGATCTCCCGTTTCTTGGGGGGCGTTGCCAAATACGGGGTGCGCTATCCCAACGTATAATGCGACGCAAGTATGTTCTGAAAGGAGTGCAACGGAGGACATCACTTTGGTCTACCATGTCAGTCGTCAGTGGTAGCTGCAAGCTCCTGCCCTACACCTGTAACCAGAACAATGGGATTGGAAGATATGGGAATCTGTATTTTTTCTAGTCATGTAGGACGTGTCCAGTTCAAACGGAAAGCCACCTGCAGCAATCCCGGTCCCTGCTCCGCCGGTGGTACCTCTTCCAGCTCCTCATTTCCCTCGAGGACCAGCAGCCTTAAGCAACCCTGCAAAACATGACAAATGATGACGGATTATTTGAGGTCCGGTATCACCTACCAGATTTGACAGTGTGTACGTTCCATCAGCACCCTGCACCACGCGTACCTCGTTTTTAATGAGTGTTTTTATTTCGGCTTCTCTTTCGTGTTCCGTCTCTGCCATGTACTCTCGTGAATCTGCACAGAATCTCAAATTCCAGACCTGCCGGCAGTACCTCAGACAGTCAGTCGGTGTTCCATCATCGTTGAGTCGATTTCTATGCTACACTGCCGGAGAAGCACCACCCGCAAGTGGTAAGGTACAAGCGACTACGGGTAACGCATATACTGATACACCATACTAGACCGATATTCGCTCCAGAAGTCCTCGAGCACACTGGTACAAGAGAAAGGCACACCGCTACACAGCCACGCCACTCAGAGCCTTTCGAAACGCCCTGGCGCGATCAGGGTTTCGCCGCCGCTCGAGTAGAGAAACCTAAGATGCCTTGCGACTGCGTAAATGACGGACTGACAATCAAAGGACAAACTCATCGTACATCTCAACACTGCGCAGACCCACCAAGTAACCAACATGGCCGATATCACTCTGAAACTGCTAAAGGCAACAAGAGGTTCTCCTCTCGAGCGCAGTAAGGATAGGCAAACGTGCACTAAAGACCAGTCTATATCGTTTGTGACGACGGAAATACTGGCAGTTGCGGAAGTACCCGCATCGGAGTAAGGTTGCCCCAGCGGCCTGCGTAAATCGTACAATTCAAAATTAGCCTAGAAACAGCAGATATTTATTCGATGTTACGACGAGTGCCACGAGCTCTGCGTGTGCTTCACATGGTCGAGTCGCATTGTTTCTGTTCACTGCCAAAGGGTCTGGTTCCGTGGGCACAAGCGAGCCTGTGACGGATAGGAGCACTTGCGCGGCAAAACTGTCCTCACCATACTGCTCAGACAAGCCGGGAAGTTACCCGAAAGCCGATTCCAGCTAAGATTCAATCCCTCCAGGCTGGCAAGTTCGCTAAATGAGCAAGGTATTTCCCCGACCAATTCGTTCGCGTTGAGGTACAGCTCTCGGAGGTGAGACAAGCGCCCCAATCCTTCAGGAATAATGCCGCTGAGACGATTGCCGTTCAACCAGAGCTCTTCAAGACTTCCGAGCAGGCTCAATGAATCCGGAATAGGTCCTTTGCGGTTAAGCGTCATCATTATACGCAGCAAACATGATAGGATTGTCAACGCCCGAAAAGGGATGGTAAGCTAATCGAGCAGCAGCGAAAGGCCGAGTTAGAGGTCCGGTACGACAAACTCTCGTTATGGACGTGATCAGAACCAGTTTTGGAGATCAAACAACGTAGCCGGTTTGTAGACCACTCAAAGGTGCTTCGTGTGCTGAACATGAAAGACATGTGGGGGGCGCCGTCAATCGTCCGCCGGCCACATCGAGGGAGCATATCTCGCGGAGGCAAATTTGGGTATGCAGTCAACATACCCAACAACACGCGTCGTTGGAATTCGGGATAGGGCCTGTCCCACCTACTAGCAGCCGAAACGTGCCTAACAAGCACAGGTGCATCAAAGCCAAATCGCATAACTTGCATAACTCACCGTGAATACCAGCACTGTATATGTGCAACACAGTCAGGTTCGCCATGCTGCCGACCTCGCGTGGTAGAAAGCCCACCACCCCAAAATTATAGGACATGTTGAGTTCGTTGAGCGTCACCAGGTTGGAAATTGTGCTTGGTATTGTTCCCTGCACATACGTCCAACACGCAAATTAAAACGGGCGGAAATCGAAGTTAGACTACGCGGGCGGAGCCCACAGACACATCTGAACCCGTTATATGTGGGCAGAGGAGAGGCAGCACATTTGCGACTTTGTCGTCCTTAATCAACCGACGAGGTACCTCCGACATTTAGCGCATTTTTTTTTGTATTGTATAAGGAGACAATCATTTGATGAACATTCTTGACAGGTTCCTCCAAATGTCGTAGTGTTTCAACAACTACATGCTGCGTGTGAGCAAGTCGGAGCCATTGGAAACCGGCAGAAAAGACAAGCCATACAAAATTCGCCGCCCAGCAAGTATCCCACCACACAGCTCTCATTCGAAAAAGGACGAGCAATTCTGTAAGGGTTTTCATCGCGTGAACGACGTGTTCATGATGAAATTGTCTTGTTTTGGACCAATACTGCTGTAGCTCCCCCGCTAGCTCCCCGGTTGATTGAATATCGGTTTTAAATAGCGTCCCGAAAGAAGCGAAATGACCAAGCTCGAAAATAAACAAAAGATTGTATGTCATGTATGCGTTACATGCACCAAGTTACATGGCCCTTGCGCATGCACACAGCAGGTGCAAGCTACGGCTGTAGAATACCCAAAGCAGGACCCTGGGGCTGTGACAATGCGTAAGTTCGTACAGCAGCTGTGCAATATGGACGGTATGATTTGGACCAAGATTCGTGACCTTTCGGATCGCAGCTTCAGCTTCTGGCAGCACGGCCCCAGCAAAAGATCTGGGCACGTCAACACGTAGTTCGTGCTCCATGGTGTCTCTTGCCGATTTAGCATCGCACTTCAACACAAATAAATAACGGTCACTAAAGAGATGCAGAAGACCTACTGGTGAACCGGCAGTGTCTCCGTTTCGTCTTGAAGTTGGCGTTAAGGAGTTTTGCCTTTTGCTTTGAGAGAAGGTTGTGGTAGGCGTCATGATATATCCTCTGGCACGAAAGTGCCAGCCGCTGTTCGGTGCGATAAAAAAGGGATTTTGCCAGCAGCACATTCCCAACTGGTCTTATTACGCATCTCGTCTGTGTGATCGCTGGGTGATCTTGCGTCGTTTTCGAACTGCTGCACCGCTACAGCAGCGGGTTCCGCGCTAAAGCCGGCAGACCCTTGGGGGCATGGATTTTTGGAGAAAATAAAATATTGACATCGTGGATCGCTTTGAAACGGCCGAGAAACGACGTTAAAAAAAAGTCAAGAAAAAAATTCTCCCAAGGCGGTTTTGTATGCAACGTGGTTTCTGGGTTTCCGATTGGGGGGGGTGTACTCGTAGTCGTGCATGCCGTAGTCGTTAGACCATTGACCTCGCATCCCTACACAACCGGGACCGCGCACGCCGGGTTCTCGCCGGACCAGGCTCGCACATCACCAAGGCGAAGCGCCGTGAGGTATTCGACGAGTCGCATGGAGGGTACGCTGCATACTGCTAAGGGTGTTCGGCATCTTGTGCATATTTCCTTGCGTACGGATGACGGCTGCGTATGACTTCATATATAATCTTGGTGCTTTCACTTCCAGGGACAGTTATGAGCACTGTGTAACTGCCTCGAGGGTGCTTGACCAATTTAACACAACGTGGTGAGATCACCCCCTTTGCGCGGAGTGAGAGTTCACGACCCCGCACAACACAATCTACTTCACCACCATTCATGGTTCCCGAAAAAAAAAAACAAAGGCAAGAAAAAAGCGGTAACCTGTTTGCCGAGCTCACGAAGTGATCGGCTTGTTTTACAATGTCGTTGCCAAGCGACGAAAACCCACCCCCGATGGCAAACACCGAAGGCGGGGGGAGGGGGGTCATATTTCTTAGCCCAAAAGTATTTGGGCTTTTCTCACAGCCCGAAAATTTCCAAGTATTCCAGCCGGCGAATTCGAAAATCGGCCCATTTTCTAACAGTAATCGGTTGATTTTTTTGCTGTGAGAATTGGGGGGAGTCACACGCCGATCGTGCCAGAACGGGGAACTACACCGATTGCTGCCCAAACAGAGGCCAGTATCGTGAGGTGATGCACTAACCGAAAATCCAGGGCGTTCTGCATCTTGTGTGGCCCCACACGATCCGAAAACGCCAACGCTGCCACTCTGCTCTGCCGACGTTCTTGACTTTCGGTCGAAAAGGCCCCTTTTTGTGCCAGCTGCATGTGTGATCAATCAAATACGCATTCCAGAGAGAGGCTTTAGGCCGACGACATCCACAAACTGCAGCCAATGGCGTGTGGTCATACACATACCCTCTGCTCGTGTCCCAGAAACATGGCGTATTGCTCAGTTTTGAATGCACACAGCATGCAAACGTGAACCCAAGTGTGTTTCGGTGTTGACTTTTTGGACTTTGTTCTTGTTCCGCCGCGTGTTTGCTTCGTGTGTCATCCGCTGCCAGTAAAAAACGCATGGCAGAGGGAAGCCTTAGCCCGATGACATGCACAAACTGCCACCAATGGCATGCGGTCATACACATACCCTCGCTCGCATCCCAGAAATATAGCGTATTCTCCAGTTTCAATTGCACACGGCCTGCAAACGTGAACCGAAGTGTGTTTCGGTGTTGACTTTTAGACGTGGCCCTTTCCGCGTGTGATTAGTCCACAACGCATGCCAGAGAGAGGTCTTGGGCCGACGATCCACAAGCTGCAGCGAATGGCGTTCGATCATCCACATGCCCTCTGCAGGCGGCCCAAAAGCAGGGCGCTCGTGCCTTGTTAGTCGCACACGAGCCGAAAACGCGAACTGAAGCATGTTGTGACCCACAAAAAAATGAATCGGCCTTCTTCACTGGGAAAAATATACATCTCCTGCACCGTAAGAGTGTCGCTCGGATCTGGTTTATTTTTCCTTGCAGGCCATCCCCCCTCAGGCGGTATATTGTAAGAACTGATAATTGAATCAAAACTGTGCAATTTCTGATTCGAAAAATAGTAACATCGTGTCTGTCAAGACGCTTCTTAAGAGTGCAGTCGACTTTTTTTACAACGCTGGCCATGGAATGCGGCCGTTTGAATCCACCATTTGCTGCCCTGTACGATCTCATCACTGGTTAAGTTTTTCGGGGATCTCTGTGCACTGGGTGGCACAACAGCATTACCAAAGCCATCCGCGCGTAACTGTGCGATTGGTGCCTCATGTGGGGTGGTGATACAGAGCGTGAGGCGCTGGGAGGTCGAGAGGTGGGCGAGAGGGCCGACTGCTGTTCGAAAAAGACCCTCCGCTCGAACACACAGCTTTTGACAGTTTTTTGGGCCGTCACAGGTTTGGTTTCATAGCGACCGTAACTGACCGAACCATCAGACACCACAAAGCCACTCGCCCGTAGCTGTGTGTATGTGCTGTAGTTCCCAGAGACCGTGACGCCCCGGGAGGCTGACCAACGAAGTTGGCGAGGGTCGACTGCTGTTCGAAGAACGACATGCGGCATGCCGCTCACTGCTCTACAGGTTTCTTGCCATTTCACCGATGGCGATGTAGTTATCACTCCACTGACCCAACCAACAGCAATGACACAACACAGCCCCTCCGACAGAGAGCAGTTGATGGAGCTTACATCCGCGCAAGTTTCAGCAGGAGGAGTGCTCTAGCGAGCGAGAAAAGGAAGCTTTTCTCCATCAATGTGTTTGTTGGGATGATGCTGCGCAGCGTTCCATTTAGCTGTTGCGGCGTTGCGGAATCGCACTATTTCCGTCGCGAAATGCTAAATCCGCAACACGGCACGGGGTCTCTGTTGCGGCTTTCCGCAACAAGAGAGTTAGAGAGCGCACACATTTTCGCCTTTTTGCGGCACTTTGTGTCTCGCCGTGAGGCGAGAAAAAAATTTGGTCCGAGGCGAGAAAATTGTTTGGACCCTTCCTGTTTTTGGTACGAAGTAACGTTTAGAAGCGAGACGTTTTCAGAAATGGGTTCAATCAAACACGGCAAAAATGGTGGCACGAGAGGAGACTAGAGAGCACAGAAAACAGAAAACAAACAAAAAAAACAGAAAATATTCAAGGGGGAGGTGTACTTGCCCATTCTACACCCACGGTGCCCCTTTTGAATGGGCAATTGAATGCGGCTGTTGGGCACACAAGCCAGCTGCGGACGCAGCTAGCTACTACTACGCAGCAGACAGTGGTCCGCGCGGACACGCTACAGAATGTCAACCTCTCAAGGAGCAGAAGAGAGTCCTACCGCATTAGAAGATGGCTGCAGCCAGCGCAGACAATGTCTTGGATGTCACGCGCCAGATCGCAGCCCGTCTGTCGACGGCTTGTTCTACTTCGGTGGCAACGGCAATATTTGGTTGTTGGTTGTTGGTGTGTCGTGTGTCATCACGTGTAATTTTGTTGTTTGTTTTGTTGGTCTTGTCCTGCTCATGTCCCCATGTCAATCTAAGATTTTAAGTGCAAACAAACCAAGAACAAACACAATAAAACATCCTCGTCCCTCGTCCCAACAATTGACACTGAGTTGATTTTGAATGATTTTCTGCAACATTGCTTTGAATATCAATCATCGTGATGTAAACACTCTCCCACATAACATATATACACAATTTTGAGCTGATTTTGAATAATTTTCTGTCAAGTATTACGTCGAATACCGCCAAAGTTGTTGCCTCCGGCGGCCGGCCCTCCGGCACGCCTTCGGCGTCTTGTTGGGGCAAACTGCGGTTGCCGCACTTTAGGCCTGCGGCCTAAATGGAACGCTGATGCTGCGTCTCTTTGTGGGTCTGGTCTTTGCCGGCCTGAACAAGCGGTGTGTGCGTCAGCTGGCCAACATTTTGCTATGAGCGCACCTGGCCACACGGCAACCACATATCAACGGTTGGGATGGCAGCACAGTGCTCCGAGGGTTGCTCGGAGCCCTTGATGAGCTCGCTACGACCAGTACCTGCTGCGCAATCCATGGTTTTGTCCGTGTGGTATGCATGTCCAAATGAAAAAACAAACGCGCCATCCCATCACAAACCGTCATCATTTCCGAACGCATGATCGCTTGGAAAGGTGAAATCAAAACTGCGTAGCCGGAAATGTGTACTTTCTGATCCTATACGAAACTGTTTTTTGTCCGGAATCAGAAACTACACTATTTTTTCTGACAAAACACGACTTAAAGGAAACAGCGTCAGAAGAACGGCCGTACTAAATGTTTGTTCTTCATTGTTGCCTTTCGAAACGTGTTCACACCGCTTTTATGTGAGCATCAAGTTGTGAGAAAAGTTCACACCCGTGTACAACTACTTTAGTTGGTATTATAGTTGTTTGCCAGACAACTACTCTTCCAGGAGCGTGCGCACCAATTGTAGACAACTATTCTTCCAGGAGTTTGCGCACCTAGTTGCCTGCAGACAACTACTCTTCCAGGAGCGTGCGCACCTAGTTGCCTGCTGACAATGCTTTTCCAGAATCGTAAGCACCTAGCATAGTTGCCTGCAGACAACTACTCTGCCAGAACCGTGCGCACCTAGTTGCCTGCAGACAACTACTTTTCCAGGAGCTTGCGCACCTAGTTGCCTGTAGGCAGCTACTCTTCTCGGAGCGTGCGCAACTAGGTGTTTACGAGCAACTAGCCGGTAGGTGTCTGGCAAACAACTAACATAGTTAGTAGTTAAAGTTGTGCAGGGTGTGGAAAAGTTAAGGTTGTACAGGGTGTGGAAAAGGTCGGGAACTTTTGCCAATCACGCTTCATTGCACGCTCACTAAAGGGTGAACGAAGTTTTCTCCACGGTACTGGTGGAACGCCGAGGCTTGAGTATTTTTGTTTCATGGGCAACGGCGAGAAGCAGG